AAACTGTCTATCCCAGTCCTGATCTACTATTCTACAGCAAACCCTGAACAGCTTAGCACCCAAATGGCCTTGGCAGAGACTGGGGTTGGATGGGCCTTCTATTTCACACCTCTGTGCTTACGTAGTACATGTCTCAGAAATATCCTGATGGAGGACTCCAAACCTTCTCCTCTCCTGTCACCAATGATTCTCCCAAAATACAAGTTAGGTTATCACCTCCTAAAAAACCGTAAAGGATTCCCCAATGCCTATGACAAGCAAAGCCTTCATGATTGGGTGACAGAGTACTCTTACATTCTCCACTCCATCTAGGCCACTCCAAAGATCCCTGTCTTCAGCCACACCAAGGTATTTACTATCGTCTGAGTACAGTCCCTATTTCCTCCATCTTCCTAATTAGGTAAAACTTACCTAGATTTACCAGACTTTACATCTCTGTGCCTCAACATCCTTACCTGTAAAATGGGGCCAAGAGTAATACCTACTTACAGAGTTGTAGTTAGGATTCAGTGAGTCACAGGCATACACAGTCTCAGAATAATGCCTGGCATCTGGTAAACTTAAAGAGGTAATACTATTAGTAGAGCATTCTCCTCATTGTATGGCACTAGGATCAATAAGACCTCCTCCTAAACCAGGCTCAGCCTCCCAAAGCAGAGGTAATGACAGCTCTTTCTGTTCTCACAGCCCATGCCAGTGGAACCCCCAACTTGTTCTTACTCAGTTCTGTGCTTGTAAGTACTTGTCTTCTCTGTTCAACTATAAGCATTTTGAAGACAGGGATCTGGTCTAATCCATTAGACTATGTGGAAGTTCTTTAAGGGATCTAAAGTCTAGCACACTTGAGATCCCTTAAAGAACTTCTACAACAACTTGCACATAGTAGGCTCTCACTGAATATTTGCTGGATGGGAATTAATTTGAGAAAATGATTAAAAGCAGGCAAGCACACAGACTTTTTGGATTCTGTGGGAGCATTCAGTGTGAGAACCCAGGCATTTACTCCATACCGCCTACCCACTGGAGAAATCTCACCACCCAAAAAGCATTTGTAAATGCAACTACTTGAAGATGGCTTTGGAATAAACTGAATGTGATCATAACCAGGGATCTTGAATGGAGATTTCAGGAACCCATAAAAATCTGCTTCAACTATAGTCAAAACGGGATTCAGTGTACTTTTATTTTTTCCCTAGAGAGACTTCCTAGAAAGTTTTCATTGAATGTTCATAGGTTTGGGAAGGACCCCAAATTAAGAACTCTTGACTTAGGCATTTAGAGACAAAGTGTGTGCCCCTGCTAAGGCTTTACAAATGAGGAAAGAGGTAGCTATCCTTACAAGGCACCACCCCACTAAGCAGGGAGAACTGGGCAATGGGTTCTTGATGATTTTAGAGGAATCTAGGAGAGGCTTCTTCAATAATTCCACATTAAAAGATCAGCAAGGAAAGGAAATAACAGGCAGGGGGAGTTGGGGACTCAGGAGCCTCCATGGCTCACTCCTCCTTGGCAGATGTGGAGCCAACATTTATCCATCATTACATGCGTGTCCTCGGCTTGGGGCCCAGACACTCGCCATTCGGCTCTGTCTGGACGTGAAGGTTATTTTCTGTCGAGGTGACTCAAAAACAAACTTCCTCAGGATCCAGACATACAAACGAGGCTGTTCACCTAATGATCCTGCAGAGAGTTAAGTGACACTTAAACACTAGCGGAAGCCTGATACCAGAACAAAGGGGAGACAAAGTCCATTAGGGCAGAGTCCCCGTTGCATCTCCTGCTGGCAGATGATTTGGAAGGAGCGTTCACGCAGGAGGCTGTTTTATTTGCAGAAGCCACAGTGGTAAATTAAAGCCCATCCTAGCCCATTCTGGGCTCTCCAGTTCCTCTTGGAGCTATTCCTATTGCTGCCCATAGGCCACTAAAACCTGCCCACATTCAGAATGATTGATTTGCTCAAACTTCAAGCCACACACTCATGTCGAACAATCCACTTCAAATAAGTCATTAGCTTCCTTCATGGATTTTTCAGGTCAGGAGGAATAGGACCTGAAAGTCCCATCTATCAGAGAGTAGAAAACAGATGGTGGAAGAGGTGGGGGCCACTGGAAAAGCCACAGGGAGCTGGGGGAGCCCTTGTTTTCTGCCAGTCGACAAAAGGGATTTAGCAACAATGGACCCATGACTTCATTGCCAGTGCCAGATACTCAAATGCAAACCAAAGGGCCCTGGGGTCTTTCTGGACATTGGAAGTAAAGGGAAATGGAGAGAGGGCTCAGTAGGGGCCCATCTTTGCTCCCAGATCAGATAGAGCAGGCGTCCCCAAACTACGGCCCGCGGGCTGCATGCGGCCCCCTGAGGCCATTTATCCGGCCCCCCCACCACACTTCAGGAAGGGGCACCTCTTTCATTGGTGGTCAGTGAGAGGAGCACAGTATGTGGCGGTCCTCCAACAGTCTGAGGGACAATGAACTGGCCCCCTGTGTAAAAAGTCTGGGGACGCCTGAGATAGAGGATGTGGAGCACCTGAGACATAAAGAGACACGGTAAAGGAGAGTGTTGAAGACTTTCTCACTTGTGATGGGATGACCGATTCCAGCTGGGTGCGAGGGAGACCATGGTGGGCTGGTGGGATAAGGCATCCCAGAGACAGGAACTGAGGCCTTAGCAGCAGCCCAAAGGGAACCAACACAAGAAGCCTGAGTTCTGTAGCTTGGCAAGTTTCCACTCACCACCTGACCCACGTTTAGCAATTCTGATGTAGCATGAAGCAGACAGCTCCAGCCCAGGATGACTGCCTCCCTCAGCCCCTCTCCGGCAGGGAATGAAAGCAAGATCCACTTTGAAAATTCTCCCCCATCATGCAAACTGACATAGGCATGCTTTTCAAAAACCCACAGCCAATCTGTTGATCATTACTTATTTACAAAGGCCTTCGGGCAGAAAGTCCTGTAAAAACCATACTTGATACGATACACACTAGCTTTTTCTGCTTGTGGAAAAAAAGTCCCCCCAAGGCTACCTCAAACCATCACTTTCTATTGCACATAAAATGTAGCGTGTAACACTAAAGTATTTAATATATATGGTATAATACATCTACAGGAAAGGCATTTGTGTAGAAGTATGTTTCCCTGGATTTGGTAATTTGATGTTTTGCTGAAGGCTACGACTTAAAAAAGCCTCCACCTTATACAGAAGACCTGTCATCTTGGTACCCAAGAGCCAACAGAATAAAGAAGTACCCTTAAGCAGCAAAACTTTGACACAGCTTTGAAGCATATGAAAACAGTATAACTCCTCAGAATTATTATTACTCAAGATCAAAGAAATGAGCCATACTTTACATAGCAAACAGGGACAGGGAATTTGGCTCCAAAGGTTTCAGATTTTTCAGACTTCTTTTTATTTATTTATTTGCTTCTCTAAATTTAGGCAGAGGAAAGTGCCTGGGCTTTTCTCTACTTTAAATGGGAATAACTATTAGCATTAGATAAGGCGATTACCTAAAGGTGAGTAAATAGGAAATGAATGCTGGCATGACAACTGGCATCATAAAAACAAAAAGCTTGGCAGTTGGCACATTTTATTCCTCCTCATAAACTGTAAACAAGCATGTAAATCAGCAACACCCAAGGAAGGCTGGGTGAATGGTGAACGGGAAGGCAGAGGACTTTTATGGAAACATTTAACAGGAATAGATGGTGATGTGGAAAAGGACTGAGAACCTGTGCTTCCAACCACACGAACAAGGACTGTTCTTGCCTATTTTCCAGAAAGGTGGACATGGAGGGCCAGTGACATGCAAATGTGATTGAAGGTGGGGAATGGAAATCACTGTCGTATTTCAAAAATCAAAGGGAGGAGAGTGGCCAGTGGTCATGAAAAGAGAAAAGTAATGTCAAGATAGCAGGCATTTCACGGCAGTATCACGTAGGGTGAGCAGTGCAAATCTGAAGTCACTCCTAGTTTATTTGGATGGTAGAGAGTCAGGATGTTGGAGGAAATAAATGCTGGGATTGGCAGATCAATTGAAGACAAAAAAGGGAGATAAAAGGTGGATAATCCAAGAACAGAAAACTGCAGAACACTGGAAAAATCTGATTCCACTTGCTCTTTACTAGAGGAAGTCATAGTCAAGAAATAAAGGAGGAAGAAAGAGAGAGAAGAAAGGGAGGGAGGAAGAGGGGAAGAAGAGAATGAAGGGGAGGAGGGAGAGAGGGAGGGAAGGAAGAAAAGAAGGAAAGAAGGAAGGAAGGAAGCAAAGAAGGAAGGGAAGGAAAGGGAAGGGAAGGAGGAAGAAGGGAAGGGAAGGGAGGAAGGAAAGAAGGAAAGAGGGAAGGGGAGGGAAGGAACATCCACAGGCATACTGTATTTCATAATTAATACTGCTTTTAGCCTGAGCAGAACTGGATTACTTTTGAACTTTGCTTTGGCAAGTCCACAGATTATTAGACTTTTTTTTTTTTTATCAGTCAAAATCAATTAACAGAAATTTGATTTCAATCGACAGGATAAAAGGAAGGTAATCTTCAGGTTCATTTTTGATTGTGATGATACATCTCACATATGGCCTTAAGTACAGAAAACAGTCCTCGGAGGGACTCCAGCAGAAAGAGACTGCCGCAGGCAAACTAGCCACATGAGTTCCTCTGATTGGTTACCGCCATCATTAGTGCCACTGCTGTTTAGGAACTACACACAGACAGGACATGGTGACAGCTAAGACTTTAAAGCCTATGTATTTTTCAAACAGCTTTTCAAACTGTTTTTCATGACAGAATTTTTTCAGCTCTATCATTAACTGCTGACAAGCTGACAGAATAAATACTCCAGCCTTTAAGAAGCCATCTAACGATCGCGCTCCCCTCCCCCGATCTGGGCTTGTTGGGGAGGGGAGGCTCTGGGCCTGGCAGGGTGAGGAGGGGGCGAGGGGAGGAAGAGAAGGGGCTAAGAGGGAAACCGTGTGCAAATCATGTGCAACGAGCCCCTCTCCTTACCTCATCAGCTTCGGCGAGGTGTTGGGTGAGTTCCGCATGCCTCCGTTGCGTTGCTTTTTTTTTGGTGATAGTGTTGACGGCTGCTCATCTTCAACTGGAAATACAGGCAGCTCATGAGATTATGAACAGTTTGAGGGCAGACTGTGAAATACAGGCAAAATATCAAAGGACACACACTCAAGGCTCAGTCACTCACTAGGAATTCATGGCTGTCTTTCAGGACCCAATGACAAAGACCAAATGTGTTAGTCAAAGAGGCCGGCTTAGAGAAGGTGAAGGCATCACCTCTTTACACTCCAGCCTTTGAACATGCACTTTAAATACACTAAAACAGTTTGTAAATACCCTGCCGTAAGAAAAAAAAAAAAAAAAAAAGAAATCACAATTTATCTGTATATCAAAAAAAAAAAAAAAAACTTATCAACAATCATTATTCTTAGAGTTTATTTTGGTTACTTTGCTTTGCCCAGTAATCGAGTACGCTTTGTTGTAACCAAAATCAGAAACAAAATTGTATCTGAAATATCAGCATTTAAGTGCCAGCCTGCTGCTTCTCCAGATGAACCAACTTAGCTGGTTCCTAATCCCTGCATGCCAGAGAAAGAGCACTGAAAAGAGGCAAGGATCCAAGGCCTTGACAACCAATGTTTGTCAGGTCAGGGCACATTGGCACATGCTGGCTCAAGAATCCCCAGCCCAACTCAGTTCTTATCTCTCCAACCGCCAGTAGTGAGAGCTTGTGGGGCTGTGCCAATGGGGTCCTTTCTTAACCAATGAAGACAGGAGCACTGGGGCTGGTGAGGTTGGAGGAGAGCCCCGGAATGAAGGAGGAGGTTGCCATTGAATGAAATCTCTGATGATGCAGCAGGCAGCACAGGGGATTGGAAACCAAAAGCTGTTTTCCAAATGTCTAAACCACATAGATCGCTAAGCAATGTGAAGCTTCACTCAGAAACACCACAGCACACTCTACTGCTCTTGCCCAAAGTCACCCACTAATAAGCTTTGCAGATGTATTAGCCTGCATCATGCTTCTTTTTAAGACAACTGCTTGATAATTAGCAGATGCGAACCCAGCCCGTCACCCAAGGGCATCAGAGGCAAAATTCTAGTCCTCCTCTCCCCACCCCCACAATTCAGGCTAAAGCTGTAATTTCAAGAAGGAAAAATAGGATCTTCAGATTCTTATAGTTGACTGCAACACAGACTAGGAGGAAAGCACCACTGAAACTCGGAATGCACGGCAGTTACCTTAAAGCTAAGAAGAGAAATATTAGCAGTGATGACATCAAAAGAAGCTTGATATATGTTAATGGTGTAGGAGTCTTAGATGGGGGAGAAAATGCCATGTCAGCTACTTGGTATTATCCAGGAAGACCCATATTAGAGCATGCATTATATGGTACTTCCCTGAAAACCCTAAATAAATTTAGTAGGTTATGATACATGGTTCTAAAGGGATTTCAATAATCTAACTACCCTCCAAACCTGCTTCAAAGTATTACACATTTTACACTCTCCTATCCTACTGTCAGTCTGGTCTTGTCTAAATTCTGGCTGACTAAGAAAAAGGAAATGACTATAGTGTGAGGGGAGAGTGAGATCAGAAGAAATGAAGGCAAGAAAGCACCTGCAAACGCCCGTAGCCCACCCCCTGTACCACCTGCAAACGCCCACAGCCCACCCCCTGTGCCACCTGCTCCCTCTGACACCCACCAGGGCCCACTCTCAGGCTGAGACCGTATCAGTCACTTAGAGCTCCAGGCAGAGACTATGTGGCTGGGATGATATTGCATCTTATCAGAAATGAGTATCCAAAGCAAATCACACAGAGACTAAACAGCACTTAAAAGATTAAAGGAAATAAATACGAGCCACATAAATGGTATTGAAAAAAATCACTTAGAGTTGATATGCATCTCTCGGCAAGCAAACAGGCACTCTGAGCTCGACCTGAATTCATCTTCCTTTCATGGGATGGGGACCAGGCATCTGAGGCAATAATGGGGTAGAAAGGCTGTGTGTGTGCGTGTGTGTGTGTGGGTGTGTGTGTGTGTTTGTACTTTCGCCCTTTCCCCATCTTAGAATGCAGTAGAAAGTCTTGCACTGCCTAGACCTATAAGACAAGGTCATCTTTTAATATGGGCCACTTGCAATTGGTGTATTGCATTCAGGGTGACCTAGATTGGTTGTGTAGCATGCTGGACCAAATAACATGTGTGTGTTTGTGTGCGTGCATGTGAGTTGCTCTAGTCAGGGTGCAGGCTCTGTTTTTCTCATCTTAAGGTTATAATTCAGTTAGCCTTCTTAAGGTTATAAACCCATATCCAGAGGTCTTTTATCTAACCTAGTCTATCATGGTTAGCTTTTTTCAGGGTCACCAGATGTTACCATGGTTGTGTCCAGTTACACAGTGAATCTAGATGAGTTAAGACCTGAACAGAAGTCATCCTCCCTAGCTTGTCTGTGGGATTCGTTTGCTTAGCCTTTGCTTCCCTGTTGGCACTGGGCCTATAACAAATAATCTTCTTTGGTTAAGTGGCCATTATCTTTACACTTCATCACTAGCTGTTTACCTACCTGATCTTCAGATGGGAGAGTTGCAAGTTAATACCTGTTAGCCAGCTCCAAGGAGACACCTCATTCTGGTAGAAAAGTTGTGCCTCTTCTATGTAAAGAAACTATTTATTTTCATTGCAACTCAGAAAGATCATCCATCATAATCATACTGCATTTAAACAGATTCGTTCTCCAAAATGAAACTTGTGCTTAAAGGTTTCCTCCTGCACTCACAGCCTGAAAATGCAGATCTGTTCCCTGAAGAGACAGGGGAAAACGTCTCCAGCTTAAATATATGAACGCTATGTAATGGAGACCATTACATATGGCTTAGGTCCCTCAAGAGAAGTAGCGATAACTTCTTTCTCATAAGTAGGATATAAACTATATTTAATTATTAGCCTTTATATGGATCCTATCAATTTCTGCATATTTAAAGAAAGCAGATCTAGGAAAACTTTTAGTTAAGCTATAAAATATAATTTTCATTTCATGGCTTCGGTGACTACATGAGAGGAATAAAAATGGAATTAAAAGGGAGACCTAAATTTACTCACTTTCATGAAAGACAAATGTGTTGAAGTAATGGGCCACTACTTCATGATGATGCGCATTTACAAGCTCTTATTTAACCCACATTTTGGCTAATTACAATACACCTCCATCTCTGGCACTTTCACTTGCCTTCGTGCTGCGGAAGCCACATAAAGATACGATCCTTTAAAGAAACCTGACTTCTTTAGAACACAAACAAGTTCAGGAATCTAACGTGGAATTTTTATAGGAGCTGAACTCCATCCAGTCTCCAAGTACTCATAAAATTCAAGGGCTTGTTTTTGCACATCCCTAAGTATAACACTTAATGTGCTGTTGTAACTTCCCGGCGCTCCCTTGTCTAATAGGCACTGAATCTAACAGTTTTACAGTTTGGGAAGGCTCAGTGCTAGAAAAATGTCAGGCAAGTCTAATGAGGCTTCAGATCCCCTGGTTTGCGCTAGAGTTTAATTTAAAGTTACAATGATGTTTTAACATGTTTGCTTATACTTGACTAAAGAGGATACGTTATTTCAATGACATAACCTCCAGACAATGTTCTGGGAATTGATTTAAGATGTGGTGGTAATTCCAACAGCCTTAATGCAGAGTTGAACATCTGTAACAACATTTTACTCGACTTTTCATCAGCTTTCTGTTTTAAAGCAAAAGCAAGGCAACGTCTTCCAGAAACCCTGGCCAGAACTCTGGGTTTACTTCAAAATGATCATACATTTTACTAGATTTTTTTTTAAAGAAATCTCTTCCTTTATCAGCCTCGCCAAATTGCAAACACTGTGTTAGGGTTTACCAAAGCCTCTTTACGATCTTTGGAGTGAAATGGGGCAATGATTGCAACTCCCAGCCTTCCGTAATTCAGTCTAATGCCTACATAGGATGGGCCTGATGTTCAGCTCTAGCCTGAGGCACATTCTCTCTTCCCTGTTTCCTCAGTGAGATTTAAGGGGATGATGCCCTTTAAGGCTTAAAGGTGAGTTTGTTGGCCGGAGTTAAAAAACAGTTCAAAGCAAATAAACTTGGAAATGTAATAAAAGGCAAACAACTCATAAACATGAGCCAACCACTATCTCCATTATGTTATTAATCACCACATCTGGAGAAACCCACATCTGAACACACTTAGCAGGTCATTAGTAATGTCATATTCACACTGGAGTCACTCAGAGTAAGAGTCATGCAAAGTGGTTTGAACACAAAGGCATCTAGCTAACAGGGCTTCCGACTAATGTCTTGTGCAAGCCGCCAGTTTGCGGGTGGGGCCGTTTTAACTATCATTAATTGTTTTTATGGCTTTCCCTTTTGGTGTTTTGCTGCCCAGCAAGCTAAATGCAAGCTGAAATCCACACGAGTGCATCTCTCTTCTTCAACTGAGCTTAGCATGGTAAAGTAAAACATTATGGGGTGCAGGGCAGTGATTAAAAATGGGGATGGTTCCCAGTCCTCCTTCACCTGGCTCGATCACAAGCCGAGAATTGGGAGTTTCCTTCTTGAACTCAAATGGGTCTTTGGGATAGCGTGATCTAGCTGCAACCTTGACTGCCAAACAATAAGGAGAAAAGAAAACGGAAATTAATTCTTAGTGAAATTTTTTTTTAGAAAAGTTCCAAACCAATTTTAACGTTGAATAGCTTTGAATCAAAATGGAAGCTTCTCCTTCACAGCTGAATTGCCTTTTTTTTTTTCTTTTCTTTCACCTTGATGAATTCCTGCAATTCTTTTTGCTTTTTTATTGTAATGGATGTCAGTAGGGATAATACTTCTGGAAATTCAGAGGACAATCTTCTTGGTATAACTTCCAAAAATATACAAAGTTCCCCGTCAGCCCACAACATGCTCAGACACAGAAAACTCGGTGTAGCAGCAGGATCAGACCCATTCTCTCCTAAAGTCTCCTAAAAGCAATTCCTCTGAATAATCACTATATTCCAAGTCATCAGTCCTAGGTGTTAAACTTTTGCTGTCTGTCTCAAACCGCGGGCA